GACCATGCCAGGGGTTGGGGAATTAAAACCAATGAGACATCACCTCCTACCTAAGAAAGAATTTTCCCCACTAAGAAAATGAAGGAATGTTAAGTGTGAATGAGACTATGGGGAAAATTGAAGCCACTATTCATTCAGTGGAGAAAAGCAAAATAGCTCCACCACCATGGAAAACTGTGGTGAACACTCAAGAAAAGAAAAAAGAACAAAGAAAAGAAAAACAGAAGAAAAGATAGTTTACTATGGTGCCTACTGATAGAGAAATGAATACATTGATACAGATTTTGGTTTAGTGATACAAATTTGAGGTCAATTTTGTTATATGTATATTTTTACTCTTGTTCTAGGTATTATGTTTATAAAGCTCATTTAAAAATGTAATGTATAGTTAAGAAATACAGATTAATAGATAGTCATCTATAATTGTCAAACTTATAGTCACCTTAGTTAGGTTTTCTAGATATACAAAGATATATTTCAGAAGGATAGTTAATTTTGAAAGACTTCAAACACTTACAGAATATAGAATTTAAAATGTTTTAAGAAGTTAGACTTTTCTCAGCAGTGAGACATGTCTGCTTCTGGCAGCACCAATCTACTTACAGAGGATGATGGGCATTGAAGGAGCTCCTTATGCCATTTGGTAGCCATTTGGGCAAGAAACTGGTCTTGCCTGGACTGCTTGACTGTCTACTGTATAAATTGGATGGACATGCAGTACCCACAGGAAATGGGCCTATAGGCTGAAGATGGATGCCCAATGTTGCAGGAAAACTTTGGGTGGCTGTCCAGGCAGCCAGATATCTCTGTCATTTCTAGAGTTTTGGAAGCTGCTTACAATTCATTTCCAATTTGCTTAAGTAATACTATATCCCTCTGGAGTCTTTGACGGAGCTGACGACAGATAGTTACAATTATAGTTTTCCTTAGTTATGACAAAAGACAAATTAGATATAAAACTTTAGACTAAAAAAGAAAGGATAGGTGATAAACGATTTTCTTTAATTTTGCCAAATGCAAATAGACTAAATATTGCAACCATAATTATTGCTTGATAACTATTTTGTCATATGTAATTTTATTATGTTAAAGTTAAAACCTTCCTTTCTAATTAGACAGAAAGGGGGAGATGATATAGGATGTCCTTCTGTATGCTGTGAATATATGTTGCTTTTATTGGATGATAAACAAAGCTATCTTGGCCTATGCCAGGACAGAATATAGCTAGGTGGGAAATTCAGAGTTACAGAGAGAAAAAAGGTTGAGTAAGTGGAGGAGGAGGGAGTTGCCTACCCTCTTTAATGTTAATCTGTTTCAGACAGGAAGGAGTTGTCTTTCAGCAGAGTTTTATCATATGTGGCTGGATGTAATACAGTAATGCCGAAAAAACCTCTATGTAGTCCTAAAAGCCAGGACCAGTAAAATCCACAGAAATTTAAGAACTTCTGAAAACTGTGGTCATTGCTTTGTGAATTTATCAAAATTGCATTTTTCAATGCTAAAACTCTGAACCTAAATGTCCTAAGTTACGTCTGAAACCTGTTTATCCTGTACCATGAAGCCTGGGAATGAGGCACACCTGTCTGTACTTTTAACTCCCATTATTAACCTGGAAGGGTTTGATATGAAAAGAGGCTTCTAGTCTAAAACTTGTCTTTATTTCTTCTTGAAACACTTGGTATTAATTTCTCTACTCCCTAAACCCCTGTGTTACTTATGGTCACTCACCATTTTACTTACTTTGGTTTAGTATCACATTATGTATAGTAATGCCATGTTGTAATCTCTCTCACACATTCTCTGTGTGTCTGTCTCTTTCCATCTATTTTATTGCAACAAGATCAAGATAATTCTGAATTCTGATATATAGCAATAATATACTAAAACATCATTCTGGCAATCAGGTGATTAAAGGACATCATTAGCACAGCTAAATTCTCTAGGAGTGTATTCTGAGGGCTTCATTTTTATCTGTGCTACAATGGCTACATAACTATACAGTAGTTGGTGTTTCTTCTGATATTCTGCAACTGACAAGTGGTCAGTTTGCTTCACACTCATGTGGACAAATGATGCTAGCTTCTGGTTGCTTTTTTCCCACTTAGTTCACACTTTGTGGCATGAGAGCGTTTGTAAGCGTCTTTCCTGGAAATCTCACCTCAAATCTGCTATTCTTAGCAGAGCTATTGCAAATTCCTAGTAGCTGCAAACAGCTAATTTTCAGTGTTCTCACAGCATCATTTGCATCCTTCTGCTTAGAGCATCAGACTTCTCTTCAGTCTATTGATGTTTCTTTCCTTCTTTCTTTCTTTCTTTCTTTCTTTCTTTCTTTCTTTCTTTCTTTCTTTCTTTCTTCTTTGCGGGGCGGGGCGGGGGGTTAAGACAGGGTTTCTCTGTATTGCTTTGGAGCCTGTTCTGGAACTGGCTCCATAGACCAGGCTGGCTTTGAACTCACAGATATCCACCTGCTTTTGCCTCCTGAGTGCTGGGATTAAAGGTGTGTGACACCAATGCAGGGCTTCTATTGATATTTCTAACTCATCCCCCACAGTTTTTATTGGCTGAAGGATTGCTTATTTAAGTATGCTCCATGAACAGACTTCATACTTGGAATGTTCATTCACACATTCCCCAAGTAAGGCTACACTATCTTGACAAAAGAAGGAGTTTATGTGGCAGGAACACGTATCATTAACAAATTTCCAGGTGATTATTATATATGATAAAACATGAGACCCTTATATAATATACATTGCAATTTCTATTTGCTAGAGTTGATCATTTTTTTTTCTGGAAATGTTAATAGAATCCTGTCAAGGGTCATGAGAGATACAGAAGGATAACTAGTTCATCACAATGACCTACCCAGATGAATGATTCTCTGGTAAGAAACCCCATTTGGCAAGGCTGTGGAGTCACTGGCTGTGAAAATAAGTTGCTCCTATCTGTAATTTCTCTCATGAGCCACTTCATATCTTCCCTAAGAGCTTCATTTCTACCCTAAGAATAGCTTTGGGTGTTTCCCACTGCTTGTTGGTTCATTTCATGAAAATATTCTACCACCTGGGCACATATATCTGTGGGCAACCAGGAAGAGGAGTTTTCATTTGTCTGTATAGTTTTGATATACAGAATAGATACTGGTTGCCTTGAATTCTTTATTGTTCTTTTCTTTTCTTTTTGGTTTTTCGAGACAGGGTTTCTCTGTATTGCTTTGGAGCCTGTCCTGGAACTTGCTCTGTAGACTAGGGTGGCTTCGAACTCACAGAGATCCATCTGCCTCTGCCTCTGCCTCCCAAGTGCTGGGATTAAAGGCGTGCGCCACCAACACCCTGCCTTGAATTGTTGAAAAGGCTATTGATCACTTAACCAGCCTTGGACAAAGGAAGTCCTTCTCACTTGGGCATCAGTAGGATCAAGCACCCCACCACTTGACCTGGAGGTTGAAAGTGTCAGGCTCTGGATTTTACACTATATAGCCACAGTTTTCCTTTTGAGCTAATCACCTTAGATATGATCTCTAGAGTTGAGAGGTCCCTTGTAATCAGCTAACATTTGGCAAATATGCTAAGATGGACTAAACAGCACAGGAAAACACCCTTTTCTTCTTAGAATTCTGTACTGATTTAAAGCTCTCTCTTTAATTGGTCCTCCCAGTATCTGCCAGGGAGTCGCACAGCCACACCTCTCCTGAGCCATGGAGGAAACTGACAAGTTACTGCTCTGTGTGAGCTTTTATCTGCTTTTACTACCTTGAGAAATGAAAGTTGTATAATTCTGTATTGCTTGTGAATTGTGGATGGTGTGGGCATATAAACTGGAAACCTTGTGGGAGGGAGGAATTGAGATTGGAGATTGAGATGGAAGAATAAAGAGACATGATGAGAAGAAGATGTGTGTGAGCTGGTTGTTGCCTCACCCTCAGATACCTTTAGTTAGTTCCCACGCTTGCTGTACTGTTTCTTCTGGATCCTCAGAGGTTTTTGGGTCTGGAAGTTTAATAAACCTCCATAGAATCCCTCAAGATGGACGACTCTGGAAAGTCTTGTACACTTGTCATAATCTTAGGTTTGGTTGAAAAATGAGGCAGAACCCTATGCTTGGCATTGAGTAAAATGGTTGCCATCAAAGAGTGACAACTGAGGAAGTTTCACTTGGTCTTCAGTGCAATGAGAACATATTGCACTGAACATATGCTTACCCTCACTTCATCATCATCAGTGGTCTTGGGGCACGAGTGTGCTCCCCATCCTGTGAGTGTGCACGCACCTCCTGTATTCTGGAACTCGAAGCCAGCAGACTGATGCCACTGTCACGTAGTTGTGAGTGACTGGTGCAATTCCACTCTGACCACAGAAAGTGATGTTATGGAAACCTGGCTTTTCTTCTTTTTTTCCACTTTTGTCAAGACAATGGCTGACTTGGAATTTGTAGTAGTTGGGCTAAGACTCTAGACCTGGAAACCCTTGGAGGAGTTAGCACATCCCATAAACCTAACTCCTCCACTCCCTGTAGCTCTGAGAGATGAAGTCCTTAACTATTGCTATACCTGCATGGATTTTCAGGACAATGCTGAAAGACATGGGTGACTCCCTCCTTACTACTGTTCCTATTGTGTCAGTAATTTTTTTTTGCTAATTATTATTATTTTTTAAATCCACATTCATAGTTTCATTTTTACATTGCACAGCTTCCTTCAGAGCATGAGTGTTTCAGGAGGATTTTTATAGTTTCAGTTCATGTCGAGCAGCACCAGGGACTTTCCGCATATTTTCATTTTCACAACACAGCACAGACTATTTCTTGTAAGTGTGGTGGGGAGCATTCCTCAGATTTTAATTCAGTCTTGATTGCTTTGTTTACCTGTTGTGAAAAAGTAACTCAAAACAGGTGATTAAAGGAAGAAGAACAAAAAGCTCAGAGTAGATCAAATGTTACATCTTGAAAAATAAGCCTGTGGAAACTGTGGTAATAGTGGACACCATTTTCAGTACCTGTGGTGAAACCTAAACTACAAGTGGGGGTGGTGCTCATACCAGACTTCCGTTCACCCCACAGAGCCTGTCACTGTTCAGAACATTTGTGTCTACAATGGACTCATCAAGAGTCTATGGCAGTTTAAAGACATCTAGGACCCCAGAGTATAAGCCTGTATCACCCTCATCTCTTCCCTCAGGTAAGTGACTTTATTTCTTCTTTTGGTATTTGAACATTTTCTAGAGTTAAGATTCCCATTATATTTTAGTTTTTAAAAATCATTTATTTATTCTTTTTTTTCCAAAGACAGTTTCTGTTGTTTTTCTTTTCTTTTCTTTTCTTTTCTTTTCTTTTCTTTTCTTTTCTTTTCTTTTCTTTTCTTTTCTTTTCTTTTCTTTTCTTTTCTTTTCTTTTCTTTTCTTTTCTTTTCTTTTCTTTTCTTTTCTTTTCTTTTCTTTTCTTTTCTTTTCTTTTCTTTTCTTATCTTTTCTTTTCTTTTGTGTATGTATTTTTTAAAATTTAAATTAGAAACAGGCTTGTTTTCCATGTCAATCTCAGTTCTCTCCTCCCTCCCCTCTTCCCCTCCCCCCCCAACCTCTGTCTCATCCCCTTTCTACTCCCCAGGGAGGGTGAGGCCTTACATGGGGAATCTTCCAAGTCTTTCATATCATTTGGAGCAGGGCCTAGACCCTCCCCCATGTCTCTAGGCTGAGAGAGCATCTCTCTGTGTGGAGTGAGCTCCCAAAGTCCATTCGTATACTAGGGATAAACACTGATCCACCAGCAGAGGCCTCATAGATTGCCCAGACCTCCAAACTGTATCCACATTCAGGGGGTCTCGATCAGTCTGATGCTGGTTTCCCAGGTCTTGGTCTTGGGTCCATAAGGTCTCCCTTATTCAGGTCAGCTATTTCTGTGGGTTTCTCTAGCCTGGTCTTGACCCCTCTGCTCATTACTCCTCCCTCTCTGAAATTGGATTCCAGGAGTTCAGCTCAGTTTTTAGCTGTGGGTGTCTGCTTCTGCTTCCATCAGCTGCTGGATGAAGGCTCTAGGATGGCATATAAGTCAGTCATCAATCTCATTATCAGGGGAGGGCATTCAAGGTAGCCTCTCCACTGTTGCTTAGATTGTTAGTTGAGGTCCTCCTTGTAGATCTCTGAACATTTCCCTAGTGCCTGGTTTCTCTTTAAACCTATAATGGCTCCCTCTATGATTGTATCTCTTTTCTTGCTCTCCTCT